CCAGGCGGAGTGGCAGGGGTGGGGCAGTGGACCTGTTCTTGTCCTTGTCGGGTGTGGCTCACTGTGAGGTCCTTCCGGCCCCTCTGTGCCCTCTCCCCTCCTGTCACACCTCCATGCGGCCCCTCCTGCCCTCCTTGAAGCCCCAGGCTTACTCCAGCCCCACAGGACCCCACCATGCTCTGTTTGGGCCACCCATCCTTCCACTCTGCTGGGCTGGGTCCCTGTGTCCTCTTCAGTTCAACAGGACACGTGGCCTGCTCAGACCCTGCCCTGGGTGGTCCTGCACCTTCAAAAGGGCATCCTGAGCTCCCCTGGACAGCACGGGGCTTCCCTGGTTGCCTGGGAGGGGCTGGAGTCCCGGGGCTCCCCCCCGCCCTGCCACAGTGGGGCTGGCATTTCCTGCCACCTCCCCCGCCTGCCAGGCAGAGGCCGGAAGGGAGTTGGTGGGGGTTCCCCCGCTTCCTGCTGCGGGGTCCTGGGGACAGCAGGGTGGGCATGCCGGAGGGAGCCCGAGCAGCTCAGGAATTTTGGTCGGTGGGGACGTCCCTTCCCTCTCTCAAAGGGACGCTGGGCCGTTCCCGGGCCGTGGTTGGAGTTTCTCCTTGCCTGTGGCTCCGACAGGGAGCTTGGCTTCTCAAGAAGCGGGCTGCGCTGCTGTCAGTCAGCCCTGGAGCTGCCTATTTTAACTTTACTAAATGTAGCTTTTCGGCCTCGCTCGCTGGGGCCCAGGGAGCTCCTCCATGCCTGCGCTGGGCGCTGAGCATTCCAGGCCGTTCCACGTCTGCTCCACGGAGTCTGTTTCTGGCCTTCGGCTGTTTGCATTTTAGAATCAGTTTCGTCTGAAATGCCTTTTGTGCCAAAAGGGGAGAGCTGTCCACTGCCTCTTCCATGCAGCCCTCCTGGACTGAATCTGGCAGCCCTGTGAGGTCCATTTGCCTTATGAGGCTGCCGGGCATGCCCTCTGTCTGGATGGGGGCCTGTCTCTTTCTGGAGGTCTCTGTGGGTTCCCAGGCCCTGGCCTCCTTCCTCAGAGTCCCACCGATTGCTGGTGGTCCCAAAGGGGGCGTGGTGGGTGTAGGGTGTGAGATGCTGGGGTTCGGGGCCCCGTGAGGCCCAGGCTCTGAGGGCCCCAGGTTCGGCAGTTGGGTTTTGCACCTCCCTTAGAGGCCCCTCTGCACCCCCTCGGGTGGGGACGGCCGGCTGTCATCTGGGTCCCAGGGTTGGCTTGGGGGCATCTGAGCCTGGTGTCCTGTGGCCACGGCCCCGCCAGCCCCACTGAGCTGAGGATCAGATAAGCACGTGGTGACTGGCTGGTGACAAGGCCTTGCAAGTCCAAAGTATGACTTTTTAAGAATAACCTTATCGCAGCCGCTGCTTATCGGTGGGTGGGGACAGATAAATGGCCTGGAAAAGGCAGAGCCTGCGCACGCGCGGAGGGTTGGGGGGCGGGCTGGCAGCTTCTCTGCACGCTGAGGATGTTTGGGCAGTTTTTGCCTTTTCTTCCTAACATTCCCTTCCTGGCCAGAAAGTGTCTCTCTCCAGAAGACTCCAGAAAACACACCCGGCCCATTGTCACCCAGGCTCCGGGAAAGTGTCTGCTGTGGATGTTCTGTGTAAACAGGAAGCTCCTGGGGTGGGGGCCGGGGGCAGTGGGGGTCCCGCCGAGGCGGGCACTGGCGGGGCGGCTGCCCCCTCCAGACTCAGGAGCCCCCAGGGCTCATGGTCAGCTCTTTGGAGCAACTGCCAGACACTTGTCCCTGGAGTGCGGAGGAGAGGGGGCGTGCCTGAGGAACCAGGCCCCCACCTTCACATTTGGGGGATGGGCTGCACCAGAGGCTGGAGACTGGGTGCCCCTTCCACCCATCTCCCCCTTTCTCCCCATGCCCCTCTGTGCACCCCCCGTTTCCTCTGCTGCCCTTTTCCCCTCTGTCTCATCGGCTTCCCCTCCTCAGGATTCTCAGACTTGGGCTGGGTGCAGGCGGTGCCTTGGGGGGCTGGGGGAGCCTTGGGGTGCAGCCTGGCAGCTGGCAGTCAAGCAGGCCGCCTCCCTCCCTCCTTCCTTCCGGCCGAAGCTTTCTCCCGCCGCTCCCTCCCCTTCCTGCCCGAGCAGCAAACAAATAAACAGCCCAGCACTCAGGCCCAGCGGCCAGCGGCCAGCTTGGACCCGGAGCAGCTTCTGCAGCCGCGTGAGCTGGAAGTCCCCCCGCCCCCACGGGAACACTCTCTGCCAGGTGCGGCCGGCCAGCAGCAGGAGCCCCTGAGTGGCTCTGGGCCCGCCTGGCACTGCAGGCTGCACTCGGCTCCTTAAGGAGAGCAGCCCCCTATGTCCCGCCAGTCCCCTCCTCTAATTCAGAGCCCTCCAGTCTCCCCAGGATCCCCAGGGAAGGGGTGGAGGTGGGGAGACTGTGAGGATCCGGGAGTGACTTCTCCCTCTTGGCCCTGAAATCCCCTCTCCTTCCCAGAGGCTGGGAAGAAAGGTGGGCGGCTCCCCCAGGGGTGGCCAGGTCCCTCAGGCTTCTAGACGCACTCCTGGGATGGGACCCCACCTGGCCCAGCCTCCTCTCGGTACCCCGTCTGTTCCCTTGCCCCTCTTGGTCTGTGTTCTCGGTGGAGATGTCTGCAAAGCGCATTTGGCAAAGTCCTTTCCTTTCTCTACCACCTCGACGTCATTGGGGTGCTTCTCTGGACTGGGGTGCTTCTCTGCACTGTGCAACAGGGGTGGGGACCCCCTAGTTGCCTTGGCCTGCAACCTGCAGTGCAGCTGGGCCTGTCGGCATTTTGCAGATAAGGAAGCTGGGGTTTGGACAGGGATGAAGCTGGCTCAGGGTTCCCAGTCCAGGGGCGGCTCCAGGTGTCCCAGCCCTGGCCTGGTGGAAATTACAGTGGCTGAGGGGCAGCTGCCGATTTCTGGGCTTGTGCCTTTGGGTAACTCTCGTGCCTTCCCTGTGTCTCATTTTCCTTGTTTGTCACAGGTGGGTGGACAGGGTCACAGGAATTCAGTGACATCAAGGCTATGCAGTTGGATCTTGCCTGCTGCTCTTGGGCATCTTTTCCTGCGGGCCTCCCCTCACCGGCTTCTGGTGGGCAGCCCTGGGTGTGTGGAGTTGGCGTCTAGGCGTGGGTGCAGGGCCGTGGATGGCTAATAGGGCTGATTTGCAGTACTGATCTTTGCCAGTAGGTGCCGCTGCATCTGGTTCTGGAATTCCTTAAGCTTTTGTTTCCAGGTTCTGTGGTTTATTCCCAATTTTGGGGACGGTGAGGGTTTCAGATGGATCAGATGAGGCTCACTTGCTGGTGGAGTCAGATGGGGTGCAGGGGCAGGCCCCCCATGCCCTGGCTCCAAGGTTGCGTTCCAGGCCCCCTTCCTGCACCCCGCCTCCTGGGCTGGAGGCTGGTAAATGTGCCCGGGGTGGGGGGTGTCAGGCCGGGGTGGCAGAGTGTCCCGTGTTCTTGCTGTTACCACCTCACCCCAAGGGCTGGCCGCCACCCAACACCTCCGTGGACGGGCCCCTCAGGTCCTGGATAAGAGCTCGGCCCTTGGCCGGAGTGATCTGCCCTGAGTCCTGACTGCGGGTTGGTAGTGCTGTCTGGAGGCGATGGCACGGGTCCCCTGAGCCTCAGTTTGACAGGCTTCTCCCTGCTCCAGGCCTGGCCCTCAGGGAACGCTCAGGACGCAGCTCCTCCCAGGTTCAGGGAGGCAAAGTCCTCCAGGGACCGTTGAGGGGGGCAGCTGGGTCATGTCCCCCAACCTGGGGTGCGCATGGACGGAGGGCATGCCATCACACCCGTGGTCTTCTCAGGAGCACGTCTGATGGCTGCAGGCTGGGGCAGGAGGCCTTTTGCAGATGGGAAGTGGAAGCCCAGAGAGGGGCCGAGGCTTGCCTGGGGCACCCTGCGAGGCTGAGGCAGGACTGGCTGAGGACCGCGGCTCCTGGCTGGGCTCCTCCAGTTCCTGATGGTCTGCTCAGGCCCGTGGGCAGTGGATTTGTCACCTGGGAGCCTCCCTCCTGGGGATGCTTCCCCTTGCCAGGCCCTCAGGGTGGGATGGGGAGGCCTAATGAACGATTGTGGGTGCTTTGAAATCCCTGACATGAAAGACTGGTGTGTGGGAGGTCCCCGCCTCTCCCCATAGCCTCTGTGGGCTGCCCGTCTCCACGCCTGACACACACCCGGGCCCCCTCCGTGAGGCCCACCCGGAAGCTCCCTGCCCCTGGGCTTTGCGCTGCCGGGCCTGGGCACACACAGAGGAAGTGTGCACTTTTCTGGGGCCCCACCCGTCAGGGAGGCCTGGAGGTCTGGTGTCTCGGCCACTGCTGCGGGGGTACCTGAGCAGCTGCAGGCAGTGTGGCCTGCTGGTTAAGGCCACAGACTTTGCAGTGGGTCAGCCTTCTGGTGCCTGTCCTGCCTTGCCGTAGACAGCTGTAGGAACACACAGCCTCATTCCCCAGCTGTGAAATGGGGTGATAATAGTACCTGCCACATAGCTCCTGATGCCATGCATCAGTCTACACCGAGGACATGAACTCGCTTCTGCTACATAGGGGGTGCTCTGGAAATTTGAGCCCTGGTTATTTTTATTATTATTCCCAGACTTTCACCTCGACCCCCTGAGTAGAGGGGCAGAGGGTCTGGCAACTCCCAGTGACCCGGCATTCCAGGTGGATGGGCCTGGGGTGGTGAGGGTCCGAGCAGCAGCCATCCGGCCTCCCTGCCCAGCAGGCATCTTAGTGCATGCGGACGTGGCTGTCAGCCTGCTTGTCCTGCACCTGCCCTGGGCCAGGTGGGGGTGCTGCCTTGGAGGGCAGCTCCAGGCACCCCTGGCTTGGCCTCCCATGGCAGAATTTGCATCAGTCCACCGTCAGGATCACTGTGGGGGTGCCTGGGGCCTGGCCTGGGGCGTCGCTTGCCCTTACATGGCCTCATGGTCTCCACGGCCAGAGGGGTGGCAGGCCAGTCTGTGCGGATTGCTGACAGCTCTCCTGTGGGTTCTTGTTTTGCAGACTTCTCCAGCCAGGTGAACTCCTCGTCCCTCAGCTCTCCCACGGGCCGTGGCTCCATGGCCGCCCCCTCGCTGCACCCCTCCCTAGGGCCTGGCATGGGCTCCTCGCTCGGCTCCCCCGGACAGCTGCACTCGCCCATCAGCTCCTTGAGCTCGCCCATCAACGGCATGGGCCCGCCCTTCTCCGTCATCAGCTCCCCCATGGGCCCCCACTCCATGTCCGTGCCCACCACACCTACCCTGGGCTTCGGCACTGGCAGCCCCCAGGTAAGTGCAGGGCCGGGGCCGGAGGGGGCGGGGCTGGGCTTCACCTGCAGAAGACCTGTGCATTGTGTGGCCCCTGGGAGGCAGGTGCTGTCATTTCCTCTTTCAAAGCCGCAGAGGCGGCCTGAGCCTGGGTTTGCGCCCAGGTCTGCTGACTCTTGAGCTGTGACCAGCAGAGGCCATCAGGCAGGCCGGTCCTCTACCCCAGTGTGGCCCTCCCATGAGAGGGGCTCCCTGCTCCCGTGACTCGCAGCTCTGTCGGGTGGCGACTCTCCCTTCCTCGGGTCTAAAGCCACCAGCCTGGAGCCCCATGTCCTCACAGCCGCCCTTCCTCCGGCCGGTCCTTCCCTGCTGGTCTCTGCTCATACCAATGCCAAGTGGTTTCAGCGCCCCCTGGCCCTGGACCCTGCGGGTGAGACGTGTCCCAGCTTGGTGCTGACGTGTCCCTCCTCGGGGATGCCAGGCTTCGGGTCCAAGGTGGCCGTAGCTCATCTGCTGGCCTTGGTGGTCTTGTCCACCGTTGTGTGTCTGCTCAGATGCTTCTCTGGAGCAGGCTGGCTTCTGGGGTTGTGTCTGGCTCAGGAAGTGGCCGGTGCCTGGCAGGGCCTGGCTCAGTCCAGTGCTTGCCGTGGGGACCCCGGAGGTGCCTCTCATCCGAGCCCCTGCAGAGTTGTCCTGAGTTCCCGGGATCCTAAGTTGTGAAGGGGCCGTGGGGCCCCGTGGGGTGTCCCTCTCCCGGCTCAGGCTGGTTCCTGGTGGCTTTCTTGCTAGGATGGCATGGAGACTTGCCTGAATCCCGGCGGGGCCTCCCTCTCTTGGGGGCTTGAGCTGCCCTTCCTGGAATAGGCAGGACTCCCTCTTGCTCTGAGTGTCCAAGGCCGGGGTCAGCTGTTCCTCCCCTGGTGGTGGAGGAGAGCTCTGGTCCACCATCTCTGTGGTGCCTCAGGACAGCCTGCCAGGGAGGGCCTTGCAGTGCAGGGTCCCCTGCCCAGAGCCACCCAGTAATAGTGGCAGCTGTCTCCTATGGACTCCAAGCCCTCTGCTGCCTGTGCAGCCACGCCCCCTCCAGGGCAGGAACCCAGAGTGCCACTGGGGTGTGGAGCCAGCCCGCTGCCCATCCGCTGGCCTGTCTGGTGTTGGCTTTGGTGGAGAGCCTCGCTGGCTTTTCCAGGGTGGCCTTGTCAGTGCCTTTGCACCTGGGGGATGGATGTGGAAGAGCTAGGGCCTCGGGCATCACTGCAGAGCCCCCGGACTCCCCTATTGTCACCTGGCCTTCTAGAAGCAGGCAGGAGGCCCGATGTGCTAACATGAGGGAGGCTGGGCCCCCTTCCTGGGCCTGGCTGGTTATTTTTAGCAGAGCCGCCCCACCCCCATTCTTGCTGGTTGCACGATGTCACACCCCGAGATTGCAGATGAAGACTGGGCCTGCACCTGCCCCCAGGGGGCCGGGATAGAAGTTGGCACCTAGTGGCTCTGAGAGCCCACCAGGCTCCTTGCTGGTCACAGGCGTGCTACCTGCCCTGGACGCCCCAAGGGCTCGTGTACAGCAGGAGCTGTACCCCCCTGTACACGGGGGTGCGAGGCCTGAGCCCCAGGTGCCCACCCGAGGGTGATGGTGATGCTCCAAACCTCGGGGGAGCCTGGTGCCCTGGGCACGGTTAGCCGCTAGGGGAGGGGTGGGGCGGTGCTGGGGCTGGGAGGTCTTTGGGGCCACATTCATCCTGTCCTCTGTTGTTCTCTGCACCCAGCGAGGTTCCTGGCACGTGGTGGGTGCGTGTGGAATCCAGGGTGCTTGTGAGCGAGAGGCCAGGAGGCTGATGAGGGGGTCAGAGGAGGAGCCGGGCCTGCGAGGGGGTGAGCATGGGGCACAAACCTGGTGTGCCCCAGACCTTCATTGCTGTCCTGCTGGTCCTCCGTCTGTGTGTCTGTCTGTCCGTTGGTCAGTTGGGCTGCAGTTAGTTTTGCCATGATCTGAGCCCCGTGCTTGGCCTCAAGCTGCCTTTCCGGGGTGGCCTTAGACCCCGACCCCTGGCAGCCCCCCGCCTAGCTCCTTCCCTGGGAGCTGAGTGCAGCTCCTGGGCTTCTGCAGTTTTTCTTGGAAGCCTGCGGTTCCCCGTATGTGTGGGGGTGTGGGTGGAGTTCGGGGAGGCGTGCCCCCGCCCTACCCCAGCCACAACCACAAAGTCCTGATTGCCAGGACCAGCGAGGTTCTCTGATGTCTGCTGTTGTCGAGGAGGGCCTGGTGCGCAGCCGGGTGCTGCTTGCTCGAGTGCACGGCCCGGAGGGCCGTCGACGTCCCGGGTGCCACCCTACCCTGCCGTGCAGGAAGTGGACGTCTCAGGGTCTGGGCAGCCAAGCCAGAGCAGAGGTGTCGGCCTGAGCTGGGCTGCGTGTCTCCCCTGGTCTGGGGGCTCCACCAGCGTAAGAACCAGGGAGCATTTCCCACCGTGTCCCAGAGCCCCTCCCAGTGCTTGGCACCCGTGGACATCTCACATGCAGGCCTCGCTGGCCTAGCAAAGCCTCTGGGGCAGGGCCTGCCCAGGCCTGTGGGGGGACCAGCCCCACTGCTCCTTGTTGTGGGCACCGTGGCCATGCAGCCTCTGCGATGGGACGTCCGCGTGAGGCCGAGTGGACTTTACAGGGTCTGCTTCCTGCCTTGATGGGCAGATAGAGGCCAGCGAGGCCAAGGGCCGGTTTGTGGTGGGTAGTGGGCCCAGAGCCTCCCATCCCAGTTCTGATCGTGGGTGATGGGCCCCTGTGGGCTTGGGAAGGAAGGGCGTGGGGGGTGTGGAAAGGAGGAGTGGGAGAGATGGCCGGAGACCCAGGTGGAGCGCTGGCGAGGCAGGAGATTATTTAGTAAGTCCTGTAGTCTCTGGAGGGAACTGAAATAGATGCCAAGGCTATGAAAGGGGAAACGGGAGGGCCCCTCCCTGGCCACGCCGCGGAGTCCTCATGCTCCAGGGAGACGGGTGGAGCACAGGAGGGGGCAGCCCCCTGTCAGCGGGGTCTGTGGAGGGGTGCGTACATGGCGAAACAAGGCCCAGAGCTGCCCCTCGCCCTGTTCTGGGAGCTGTGAGCCTGGCCGAGCCCTGTCTGCTTGGAGCTGAGACGGGGGAAGAATGGTGCCTGCTCCCGCACAGCCTTGCCCTGGTGGCCACGTGGGGACGTCCATCACTTGAGGCAGAGAAGCAAAGTGGGTGCCCAGGCCGGTAGTGAGGGTGTGGCTGCAGCCCCGCCTCCGTCGTCCCACACGTGCAGGGCTCCTCGGGCGCCCCAGGCCTCTGCGCTGACCGCTGTGCCCATGGGGAGCCTCAGCCTGGGCGGGCAGGGCTCTCCAGCACACGGCCCAGGAGCCAGCTTGGCCCCAGCACTGACTGTGACTGCCTGCTCCATCCGTCCTGCCTGCAGCTCCCTCCCTGGGTGGGCCCTGGCCGGCTTTCCCTACTGCTGCGGCCCTGCCTCAGTTTACCTAAGGTAGGCACCAGTCCAAAGGGCCTGCACATGGTGGGCTAGGAGACAGGGCAGGTGGCCCTGCCTACCTGGTGTGGTTTGGGCGGCCACAGAAAGAGGGAAGGCCCAGGCTCCTCCCCTCGGTGCTGCTAGGAGGATCCAGCCCCCCCCCCCGACTCGTGGCCACTCCCACAGCCCTGAGAGGCCTCCTGCTTGCGGGTCCTCAGTGGCTCCCTGCGGTTGGGCCCTTTGGGACCAAACATTTCTCTGGCAGCCCTGCCGTTTGGGATGCCCCGCCCATCTGCCATCGCCCCAGCGCCAACGCGGCTGCTGTTGGTGGCATGTGAGCTGGGTCCACTCGTTCCGCTGTCAGCGCTGCCGCGCATCGGCTAGGCAGTCCTGCCATCAGCCCTCAGACAGGCACACTCACGTCATTCCAGTTTTGCACACGAGGAACCTCAGGCTCAGAGTGATTCAGTAATTTCCCCCAAGTCACACAGCGAGTGGGGGAGGCAGAATCCAGAGGCTCTAGGATAAGCGCTGGCTCTCCCCTGCTCCCTCCTCCTGGCCCCCCTGGGTCCGGCCAGTGAGCCCTGCAGGGCTGGGCACAGGGCTGTGTTCTCCACTGCCTCTGGGCACCTGGCTGGCTGGATGCTTACTGAAGAGTGTGGGATGATGCTATCCCCGGAGTGGCTCTGGGCAAGCCCATCCTCTCAGGGCCTCAGTTTCCCTTTCTGCAGCATGCAGGATTACCTTTGTGTCACCACCTGCTCACTCTGAGCTCAAACCCCTGCTCTGCCCCCTGCCAGACCCCTGCCCTCTCTGAGTCTCCGTGTCCACATCTGGGAAATGGGAGAGCAGCGCTTCCCCTGCGGGGTTTTCTGCGCAGGGAGAGACTAGCATGTGTGCAGAGCCCTCGCACCGTGGCACTTGGCACACAGCACTTGCCTTCCTTGGTTGGTGGCCCTTCCTAGTTCCCCTTTGAGTTGGGAAGGCTCCTGACACCTGCGATGGCACACAGGGGGTGTCCTCCACTTACAGAGGGCTGCCCTGCTCTGCACTGGGGTCCCCCAGATGCCCTCTCATCCCCCTCGGCTCCTGTGTCCTGACAGCCCCAAGGGGTCAGAGCCGCCTCCTGGCCTCCCTGCGGCCCCCTGAGTGCCATGGGGGTCAGATGTCTTCGCGGAACCACATGGTCCCCTGCGGGGTGGAGGAAGGCCCTGGACTGGCCGGGCTGGAGGATGCACTGCAGGCGCCAAGGACCCCATGCAACGAGGCTTTGTGCCGGTTTCTGCCTCGTATACTTGGAGCCCCAAGCTCTTCCTGTCCCATGAGAAAGGGGGATGGGAGTTGGGGGCCGTGGGGAAGGAAGGAGGTGGGTTCCCGCATGAGGAGGGCCTGGGGCTACCAGGGGGCAGTGCAGCAGCTGCTGCCCATCCCCGGGATGTCCACGCGACGTGGGTTCCGCCTTTGTCAGGGGTTTGCAGAAGTGGGGTGCTGGGGGTGCGGGGGCTGCAGGGCGCTGCCCGGCCGGGGTCCCGGCGCCTGCAGACAGGCTGGCTCGTGGGAGGCGGCGGGCAGCGCCTCAGCCCTGGGCGCTGGCAGGAGAGCTGGGGTGGACGCAGCGGAACCAAAACTGCTGTGTCATTGCGGCCGCGGCAGCTGTTGCCAGGGTGACCGGTGAGTTTCCCACGCTTCCTCCTGGCGCGGCGTCAGGCGGGAGGGTGGGGCGGAGGGGCGTGTGGAGAGGGGAGGGTGTCCCTGCAGTGGACGCCGAGGGGCATCCCGTCCCTCTCTCCTTGGGTCGTGAGAGTAGAGACCCCCACCGTGCCCGCTGAGGCCCCGGCACTGTGGCCTGTGGGGTGGCCCCTGCTCTCCCCCCTCCCCGCCGTGACAGGGCTCAGAGCTTGGCTGTGGGTTGGGGGTATCCTGAAGTGCCGGCCTTAGCGGCGGATGCCAGAGCTCACGCTGTCCTGTCGAGGGAGCGCCCAGTAATGGGGGGCGGTTCTTATTTAGGTGGGTGAGGGGCAGGGAGCGTGAACAGGGGCCTGTGGGGTCCTCCTCCTGAGGCCTGGGGGCAGCCGGCAGGTGGGGCCCCGAGGGCAGGGCAGCCCTGCCAGCCTGGCTGAGCTCCCCGAGCAGCATCTAGCTTCCTTTGGTGGGCCTGGGCCCTGCTGCTCTCGGGCTCTGTGGCCTGGGGTGGGCAGGGCCCCTCTCTGAACCTCGGTTTCTCTCTCTGTAAAGTGGGGCTGTGACACAGGGCTGTTGGGGGGACTCTGCAACTTGCTACCCGGGTGCCTGGCTCCAACCTGCCAGGCTGACCCCCGCTGTCCCCCTCCTCAGCTCAACTCGCCCATGAACCCCGTCAGCAGCAGCGAGGACATCAAGCCCCCGCTGGGCCTGAACGGCGTCCTCAAGGTCCCGGCCCACCCCTCAGGGAACATGGCATCCTTCACCAAGCACATCTGTGCCATCTGCGGGGACCGCTCCTCAGGTAGGCTGCCACAGGGGCGGGGGCCTGAGCCTGGCCAGGCCGCCAAGGGCACTCGAGCTCCGAAGGCCTCTCACACTGGACCGTCCAGAGTTTGCACGTCAGGGCAGGGTGGTCCGGAGGCTTCTGGAGAGAGGGCGGCAGTTGGTGGTGACGACGACACAGGGGGCATTGTAGGCCGTGCTCCGCTCGGGGCTGTGCCCTGGGCAAAGGACCCCTCGCATCCTACCCCAAACCCCGACGATGCCCTCTTCCGGGGCCGCCAGCTCATCCGGAGGGGTGGGGACTCCCTGGGCCCCGGTGCTCAGCAGGGCCAGCTCCCTCACCCCAGAGGATGGAGCCGGAAGGCCAGGGCTCTGGAGACAGGGCTGGCCCCTCCCGCGGGAGCACTGCGGGAGGCTCACGGCCCGGCCCCGCCCGCAGGCAAGCACTACGGGGTGTACAGCTGCGAGGGCTGCAAGGGCTTCTTCAAGCGGACGGTGCGCAAGGACCTGACCTACACCTGCCGGGACAACAAGGACTGTCTGATCGACAAGCGGCAGCGCAACCGCTGCCAGTACTGCCGCTACCAGAAGTGCCTGGCCATGGGCATGAAGCGGGAAGGTAGGCCACGGGCACTGGGCGGGCCGGGTCGACCCTCCTCCCACATGGCCTCCTGGTGTCCCAAAGTCCCCAAGCACAGGGTCCAGCCCTGGACTTGGCAGCTTTGTAGCGTCCCTGGTGGCGGCCGGCTCCTTTGCATACCTCTGGTGATGGGGTGCTCACTCACTCCAGAAGCCACTGCTGCACTGCAGGCAGTGTGTCCCTGTGGGCGATGATCGAACCAGATCCCCCAGCCAGGCGTTGCTCTCACTCCCCAAATCTTTACTGAGTGCCTGCTGTATGCTAGACTCTGGGATTACAGAAGAGGTGGCCTGGGTCTTACCTGCTGGCAACTTCTAGCCCCATTAGGGACAGACGTTGATGATACCCCCCCTTCAAGGTTGTGGCAGGCCCCGGCCCAATGTGTGGGCTCTGGAAGATGGGCAAAGGCAGAACCACAGGGAGGCCTCAGGCTGGAGGCGGGTGGTGGGCTCGGAATGGAGCGAGGCTGGTGTGGTGGGAGCCCAGGAGAGCGAGTGCGTGTGGGTCCTGGGGCTGTGTCCTGGCTGTCCAGTAAGGGGACTGTCAGGGAGGCCCTTGTGGGGACAGCCCTGATTGGGGGTGGCTGGGGCAGCATTGTCCTGCACGCTGCTTCCTCCTGAGAACCTGGTGCACATGCCCAGCAGCACCTGGGCCCTCAAGCCGCAGGCCTCTTGGCCTTGGATTTTGGTGGTGACATTTGTTAGGGGCTGGTTGGGGTGTGGGTAGCATGGAAAGTCACTCCCCTGAGGCCGTTCAGATTGTCAAACTGTCCGAGTCCTCAGCCCCGCCTTGCAGTGTGACCTCCTCCTGACCCCTTGCTGTCCCCTTGTGGGCCTCAGTTTCCTCACCTGCAGGTGTGGTGACTCCTGCGTTCTGAGCGGACTCTCTGGGTTATGTTCTGCATCCAGGTTTGAATGGGGCGTGGACGCCGGCCTGCTGAGTCCCTCTCTCAGGCCTCGTGGGGTTGGGAGCTGCTGTCTGGGGTCAGGGTCTGCGTGTTCTGTTCCCTTCTCTCCTCTGGCTGCTCCTGTGGCCACACATGGTCAGTGTTTGTCTGCCTCCTGCTCCCGGCCCCTGACGGGCTCCACGAGCTGGTATCTCACCACCGAGGACTGTCCTCGCCATGGCTGCAGTCTTCATCTCTTTCCATTCATGTTTTCCTTTCGCACGTCCCCAGCCCCAGTTGTTCTTGTTGAGAAACCAGAACCCCAGCTGGGCCACACAGTCCTGCAGGATTTCCTTCTTGACGCTGTGGGGGCGAGTGTGGGGTGCAGTGAGGAAGGTGGGGGGCTCAGCAGCAGCCCCTGTCTCCTGCAGCTGGCACCACTCCCGGCGAGGGGCAGTGGTCCGTGGACCCCATAGAGGGGCCCTTGTGGGCTCAGCGCTGAGCTGTGGGGGCTGGCTTGGGCCCTGCAGGGTGTCTGCCCACCAGGCCTTCCTGATCAGGGTGCATGTTTCATGTATGCTTGGCCCACCCCTCCTTGTGCAGGTTGGAGAAACTGAGGCCTAGAGGGTCCAGGGCTTGTCCAGGGTCACATGCTGGGCTGGAACCCGGGCCTCGGGCTCCCAGTGCAGACTCTGTTCCTTTAGGCCAGTGGGAGGGCAGAGGAAGTGTGTGTCCAGCCAGGGCAGGTGTGTGCCCAGCCCCGGTTCCTCTGGATGCCCTGTGTAGTCAGGGAGGGCTTGCTGGAGGTGGCTAGTGCAGTGTTGTTCCTGAAGCATGGAAACTTGGGCAGGGGACAGGCGTGTGGTGGGCAGTGGATCGGTGTGTGCCCAGGCGTGGAGCCTGGCCAGAGGGCCCGGCGCCAGTGTGCTGGGGGAAGGTGGGGCCCCGGCATGCAGCTCCAGGCTCGCGGCTCCCTGGAGGCACACAGCACAGAGTGATCTTGGCTTAGCGCCTGAGATCACTTGCTTGCTGAGCTCACTGCTTCTGGTGCCAGGCGGGTACAGCCGTGAGCTGTGGGCATCTGTGTGTTGAAAGTGAGCGTCAGATAACCAGGCAGGGCCCCCAGGTGTGGTCAGTGATGGCTTAGGGGGAGCATGGGCACTGTGGGAGCCCACAGGAGGCAACCTGACCCAGCCATGGGCAGCGGGCAAGGCTTAGGTAGGCAGGGGATGTCCAAGCCAATGCCCGAAGAATGGGAAGGGGTCAGGCAGAGTGTGTGCCCAGCTGGAGGGAACAGCATGTGCAGAGGCCGGGAGTATCAGCAGATGTGGCACACTCCAGGGCATAGATGCCATTCCAAGGCCCAGAGAGTGACCCTCTCTGGGTCCCTGGAACTGTCCAGTAAACACTGACCCCTTCCTGAAGCCTCCTCAGTCTGCCCACCTGTGAGCCTGGGCGTCATCAGACTCCAGCTGCCTGTTCCCCGCAAGGCCTGGGGGAGAATGAGTGGCACTCGTGTCCTGTCCCAGGGGAGCTGCCGAGTCGCAGGGCTGGGGAGACCTGGAGTCACCTGGACTGACCTCTCCCCTAGTGCCCGGCAGTGATCGGCTCTTGTTTCAGCAGCTGTCAGGAGCACCTGCTGTGTGCGGCACCTCGATCCCACCTCCACGCACTCCCTCTCCCCTGTGGTGCCGTGGTGCTGTCCCCACACCTCCCTGATGGAGAAGCGGGGGGCAGAGAGGTGGGGCGCTTGGGGAGGGCTCAGGGCCAGCGCAGGCAGGGCGGGGCTGCAGGTGTTCGCCGGGTCTGGAGCCGTGTGGGCTGTGCGTCGCTCTTGTCCCTGCTCTCATGTCTGACGGATAAATCTGCTGCTTTGGGTGCCTTCCCGAGGTACCAGGCGGCTCGAGACCTGATTTACAGGGCTGTGAGGTAAATGCCTGATCCCATCAGGCCCCGCCTCCCCTTTGCCACCTCCTGGGTTTACGAATCATGAGTGAGCAGTGGAAACCCTCCCGCACGCTCTCTCGTGCCCCAGACACATCCCACGGCTGGGCCTTGCTGGCCTTGGAGGGTCCGTGCCGCCCTGAGAGCTTTGAGGACGGCATGGGGGTGGGCGAGGCCTCCTGCAGGGGGGCTCCATCCTCGTGCGGTGGCAGCTCCTCTCACCCACGCTCTCCTGGGCGTGTGGCTCCCCAGCCAGGTGGTGGCCTCTTGGGTGTCCTGGCACCTGTGGGCCCAGTCCACAGCCTTACACGCGGGAGGAGCGACCAGTGGCCCCAGGGCAGCCTCAGTCTGGCCCTGCAGGGTGCTCTGTGGTCTGTGGTCTCCCAGGTCCATCCGCCCAGGGGGTCTGGAGGCACCCTGCCGCCTGCCACCATGCAGCCTGTAGCTGGGTGCTGCCGCCCATCCCCCGGCACCGTCCTGAGACAGCTCCTCTCCTCTGCTGTCCTGTCCACTGCAAGGAAGGCTTCCTGGCAGCGGCGGGGCTGCTGGCTGTGTGAGTCAGGCAGTGTGGTGGCCTGGGGAAGTGGGGCCGCGTGCACCAATGCAGCCGTGGTCGGGAACATAAAGGGTGCAAGCTGTTGGCTCCAGGGCCAGCCCTAGCCCTCCGGAGTATCAGTCCTGTGGCAGGCATCTGTGCTGAGGGGCTTGCTGCCTGTCGCCCGACCCCCTGGTGAGGCTCGAGGTCACACCTGTTACAGGTGGGGAGACAGAGGCCCCACCAGCGGCGTTGCCCAGTGCGGTGCCGTGAGGGCACAGCTCGGGGCTGGCACCCGGCTGCTGACTACAGGGAGAGCCCAGGAGGGGCCCCTCTGGCTCGGGCTGACGGGGACCCCACCTCCACCGCTAATGAGGGATGTGCAGGCTGATAGCATCTGGTGTTGGGGCAATGGCGAGGGGCCTGTGCACACAGGCAGCCAACGGGGGACTCGTTCCGCAGCATTCCGGGGTGGGGGAGGCTGAGGCCCAGGTGAGAAATGCCACGTGGGCCGGCCCTCCACCAGGCTGAGCCCAGGCCTGTCTGCTGGAGCCCACGGTGGCAGGGCTTGGAGGGCCTGCCAGCCGTCCAGGTCTGATGGAGGAGGCAGGCCCCACGCTCGGGGGGTTCCCAGTCTGATGGGGGAGACCTGACCCCCCCCCCCCCACCTAGGGTAACACTGACCCAGGCTGGAGGGGGCCACCCCACTTCCCCCATCTCTCTGCTTCCTTCTTTTTCCTGTAGGAAGGCCTCTCCCCGTTCTTTCTGCCTCCCTTGGCTTCCTGCACCCCATCTCCTGACTCGGAAGGGCTGGAGTGTGGAAACAGCAGGGTCTGGTGTGCACGTGTGTGCATGTGCACGTGTGTGTGTTTGTACAGGCATGTGTGACTCCACATGTTTCCGCTGTACAGAAAGAGCCCCCACTGGGTTTAAGTGCCACCCCGTCAGCGTTGCCTCACCGAGCCTCAGTTTCCTCATACGTACAGTGGGGACCTCGGCAAGGTTCCCCCGACCAGCTTGCAGGGAGGAACGTGGCAGGTGGCAGCACCGAGCCTGGCTGGTGGTGGACTGGGGAGCAGTGTGTGTGCCTGTGCGTGTGTGTGTACGTGATCATTCTCATATACAGACTCCTTGTCGTGGATTGAGTCCCCTGAGGGAGGAGGGACGTGTCCTCTGAGCTGGAGAGCCCCTAAGTCACCAGAGAGTGACCTCTGGCAAGACACCCCCCCTCCCGGTCTGTCGTCCAGGCCTTGAGAAGTGCTCGCCGGCCAGAGCTTTTTGGTGAAATCCAGGCCTGCCCTGGGGGCTGGACAGGGGACGAGGTAGGGCCCTGCCAGCTGGCAGAGGAGGCAGCAGGGCCGAGGGGCTGCCACCCAAGGAGCCCTGGGCGCCAGGAGGGTGGCACTGGGCACTGTGGCATGTTGGGGGTGTCCTACTCTGGCAGAGGGACCACTCGCCCTCCTGTCAGCAGGTCTCCTGAGGTTGGGGACCCTGTTATGTTGGGCGTTGAGTCCCCCCACATCGTGTGTTTGGCTGCTGGGGAGGGCTCTCCCTGGGCATCCCCAGTGCGGGGCCCAGCCTGGCCTCCTCTGCCTCCTGTGCCTGGGCGCCCCTCCACCCGCCGCGCTCCGGCTCGAGCTCGGGCTGGGAGGATAACGAGGCCCTGTCTTCACAGGCGCCTCCCGCCCGAGGCTTCCCGGCGCCAGCGGAACGTAAGTCAACATGACTCCATCTAGAAGGTGATGGAGCTGGCAGGGCATCAGTCCCCGGCTGCCTCCTGCCCGCTCTGTGTCTATAAATAAAACCACAATATTTATAACGACGCCGCTCAGAGCTGCAGGCCCTTCACAAAACATTCGCTAATTAATTCCCGCGCCCCCGCAGCGGGGAGGCAGGTGCGGAGGAACCCCCCCCGCCCGCCCCCTCCTGCACTCTGGCCCGCCCCTCGCGGGGCCACCCTCACCCAGGGCTCCCTGCACCTGGGACTGGCTACGGAGTGGGAGGAAATCCCCGTGACTGGGCCACGTTGCGGAGAGCGCGGGAGCGGCAGGTGTTATGACAGAGCTGGGAGGGTGCCATGGGCACCTCCTTGTGGATCCGCCCCAATGCCTCGCTCGTCTTTCTCAGTGTAGGGCTCAGGAAGCTGGGCCCAGACAGGTGAGGGACTTGCCCAGGGCCACATAGCCTTCAGGGGCTGTCTGACTCCAGAGCCTGTAGCTTTAAGCTGCCCACTGCCCTGAGAGCTCAGCCACGCCCGTTTGGCTCTCTGGGCCTCAGTTTCCCCACCTGATCAAATGAGCTGGTTGAGCTAAACCACGTGGCTCTCAGCTATGTCCTCGCCCTGAAGGTTTAGGATTCTGCCCAGAGGACAGACCCTGGGGACCCCCATCCTCAGGGTCTCAGGGACATGGGCCTGCCTGGGTCCCCACCACCCTGAATGCTGGCCCAGATCAGCCCTCGCAGCTGCTTCCCTCCGAGTGGCTCTGCTGGCCTGTGGCCTGTTTGCTGTGACGGAGACGGGGAGGTGAGGAGGTGGCCTGTCCAGCTCAGCATCCGCCACCTACTGGGGTCGTCATGGGAGATGCGGGGGGAGGGCCCGGAGCCTGGCCGGCCTTCTGTAACCCTGCCGGCCCCTTGCCACCTGCTGGCCAGCTCAAGCTCCCCACTCGGCCCTCACCTGCTGTCAGATTTTCCAGAAGAGCCAGCCTTGCAAAAACTCCGACTTGAGGCCTCCTGCCTGGCTCCTTGGCCCAGCTGATGTGGAGGCGTGGGCTGGCTGCTGTCCTTGAGTCTCGCCACATGGACGGAAAGTCCCTCATTTGAGTCAGTCTTTTGGGTCTTGGAGAGTGCAGCCCCTGGCCCGGGGGCAGCTCCAAATAGCCATTTGTTGATGCGGGAAGGATGCAGGGTCTGCCCTCAGGGAGTCCGCGGCCCTGGAGCTGGGCACGGATCAGTCCCGGCGTCTCTGAACGGTCGTTGGTGGGGGCCTGGCGAGAAGCAGTGCTGTGGGTTGCTGGGCTGTTCCAGAGCCGTGGGCAGTGTTACAGGAACCAAGCAGGCCTGGGGGACCCCTGGGCCAGCCTCAGCAGGAGCTCTCACACCCTCAGGCCTGGAGGAGTGAGGGGAGGGTGGGTTTGCAGAGCCCCTAGAAGGGCCTGCTCACTGGGAGCTGTGGCCTTAGGAGGAAGTGGCACGGAGAGCCGTGGCTGGATGGGGCAGGCGCCCAAGCAGTGGGCCCCCTCCTCCCTCCTCCCATCTTCCTTCTCCCTCCTCCCTCCTCCCTCCTTCCTCCTCCCTCCTCCCATCTTCCTTCTCCTCCCTCCTCCCATCTTCCTTCTCCTCCCTTCTCCTTCCTCCTGTCTTCCTCCTTCGTGCTGGTCCCCTGCATTGTCCAAACCCTTCGGAAGCCCAGGGCAAGAGGGCCTGGGTGAGGCTGCCCCGAGCTCAGGCCCTCAGAGCCAGGGTCAGGGGGCCGTCTGGAGGTGTACGAGAATGGGGAGCTGTGTTCTGAGGGGGGCATGAGCTCCGGCCGAGGCCCAGAGGGCATGGGCGCTTGGGGAACCTGTGAGGGGCCACACTGCCCTCTAGAAGGCACTGTCCTGGGGCCTCACACCAGGAAAGAGAAGGGGCGCTGGAGCAAGGCCCCGCAGGAGAGCCGGGGCAGGGGTGCCAGGTTGGGGCTCAGTGCGAGGGGGCTCGGAGCTGGGGTGGGTCAGAAACAGGGAGAGGGAAATCCAGGTGAGATTTAGGGCTGGCTGGTGGGAGGAGGCACAAACATCCAGCCGGCTTGGTGGGTGTCCCTGGGAGAGCCCAAGGCCCCTTTGCTGATCCCCACCTCCAGGGCTGGCCGGAGGCGGGGCAGCGAGCCTGAGCCCCGGCGCTGTGGGAGTCAGCTGAGCTGAGCGGCTCCTGGGCAGTGGGCGTGATGTGGGGCCGCAGGTGCAGCTTCCTGCAGACGTCACTGCAACTTATCCTGATGTTCTGCCCTCGGGTCCCCAGGATTTAGCTGTTTACCAACACCTCTGGGTGCTGCGGCTTGGGGTACAGCCAGGGGAACAGGATGGTCCTCAGGGAGGTGGGGGACATGGCCACCACATGGCCTGGGCCCAAGCAGGGTGGGTTAGGGGCTCGTCTGCTCCCTTCGCAGGGCCTGGCTTGTGGGTGGTGGGGGTCTGCAGAGGGCACGAGGATGCACGTCTTCATGCTTGCCCAGGTGTGACTCTGGGCCCGGGAGGTCCGTCCTATGGTGCACGGTGCACAGTGGCTCATGGCTGTCTCCCGTTCCATCTCCTGAGGGCCGACTGCTGCTGGTGCTGCCCGGTCCTCACAGCTCTGGGGTTTCCAGCAGGGGGTGAGCCTGCCGTGCCGCCGGGGTGCAGGGGCCCCAGGCCTGGCCCTCGGGCTCTCCCTGCTTGGGATCATCTCCCACCTCTTACTAGGACCCTTGTGGGCTGAGTGTGTCTCTGGGCAGCAGGCCAGCTCTGCCCATCCCCATCCTCCCCAGCGTCCTCCCGGCCTGGGCTCTGTGCTGAGGGGTTGTTTCCGGACCCTTCCCTCTGCAGGGATGGCGTGCGACAGAGGGTCAGTGCGACTCTCTGGGGTCGCCTCGCCAAGCTCCCACTCTGGGGGGGGTCTCCAGGGGCCCTGGGAAGTGAGGGCCTGTCTTGGTGGGGGCTGAGGAGCTGTCCTTGAGGAGGCCGTGGGCACCCTGTGAGTCTGCGCAGTATGTCTGGACGTCCTCTCTGACTCCGCGGAGCAGGACCACGGGAGGGTGGGCTCTGTCGCACTTGGGGTACGAGCGCCCTGCCCAGTGCTGTTCCCCACCAGGCAATGGCATCTGGGTGTCCCTGGGTGGCCGGGGCCCCATACCCCCAGTCTGGGCTCAGGCCGTAATGGTGTCATGTGGGCAGCCCCTCCAGCCCATCCCGGGCCTCAGGCCGGGCTCCTCTCCACTGCGGACTCCTTTCTCCAGTCCGGTCCTGGGCATCCAGGGCCCCTGGCGCCCATCAGAAAGGAGGGGGCCATGAGGGGTCAGCCCAGGAGGCTGCAGGGCCCCCAGGAGCCCTCTCGGGAGCTGGCAGAGTTCTGGGCACTGGTTCAGTGTCGTCTCAGGCCTGCGGGGTGACCTCAGGGAGGTCCTGGTTCCCTCTTGGGAAAGGGCGGCTTGAGCCACACGGGCTCTGGAGTGTAAGGTCTGTAAAGGCCCTATGGGGCTGCCCTGGCCCCAGCCTTCCTCCCACGGGGTCTCCTTGGGCTCAGCTTTGGGGTGTCCCTCCCTCTCTGCCTCTTTCCACTGACTCTCTTCCTGGGCTCCCAGAAACTGGGCTGCCCCCTGATCACCCCTCTGCTCAGGCCTCTGCCCTCAGTGCTTCCTCCCTCATCCCCAGACCGGCCCGGCTCACGCCCAGCTTTGGCCTCCAGCTCATTCGTGGTCTCCCTGGGGCCCCTTTTCTTCCCGCAGCGGTAGGGGACTTTCAGAGATGTGTCCCATCCTGTCCCATTCCTGGGGCATGTCGGACCCTGTCCGGCAGCTTGGCCCTGCTCCCCACTTGTCTCTCGTGCACGGCCTCTCCAGCTAGCCTGAGAGACTATTCCTCATCAGGAACGTCTCTGCTCTGGCTCTGAGTTTTTGCACGTGCCGCCGCCTCTGCCTGCACCCTTATCCCTGTTTTTCCTGCTCCTTCAGTCTCGTTGCCACTTACTCCAGGAAGCTTTCCTGGCTTTGAGTCCATAGCCCATCAAAGCCCTTCTCGCTCCATGTTGGAACCCCTGCTGAACCGTGGGTGCCATGAGAGCCAGGTCCCATCTGCCCTGGCCTGTGCCTGTCCCGGGCTGGTCTTGGTGTGAATGTTAGCTGAATGAATTAATGAGAGGCGGGGGTGCACTGTGTTGTCAGGGTGCACAGCTGAGAGGTCAGGCTGGGGACAGAGGTGGCACCACAGTCGGGCTGGCTCTGAGCGGTGTGGCCCTCACTGGGCCTGGTGGGGCGCTGGTGTTGGAGGTGCTGGCTCTGAGCCGGCCCTGCTCGGCCCTCGGGCTGACCAGCCTCCCCGTGATGTTGCAGCCGTGCAGGAGGAGCGGCAGCGGGGCAAGGACAGGAATGAGAATGAGGTGGAGTCCACGAGCAGCGCAAACGAGGACATGCCGGTGGAGAAGATCCTAGAGGCTGAGCTGGCTGTGGAGCCCAAGACTGAGGCATACGTGGAGGCGAACGTGGGGCTGAACCCCAGCTCGGTGAGTGCCCGGCCATGTGGCCCCCCAAGGTGGTGAGAACCTGTGGCTTTGGGGACTGCTGGCCCCTAGGAGCGCCCCTGGGTGGGAGACCCCCCAATGAGGCGCTGCGGCCAAGCCCCAGGGCACGACATCCCGACGGCTTGAATCAGGCCTGGGACTCCGCACTTACCTTCGTGCTCCGTGTTGCCTCTGACCCACCCTCCAGCCATGTCGTCCCGCTGATGCCTCTCCCATGGCTCCAGGCCCCCCCTGCATGCCCAGCCCCGTCCAGCCTGGTGGCCTCAGCGCCAGTTCGTCCCCAGGCCTCCCACATGAGCCCTTAGCAGGCCCTTCCGTGGGGCCCGAGTGTTTAGACTGCGCGTCGCTTCAGGCAGATGGTTTCTGTCAGGGGAAGCCCTTCAAAGGAGGCCTCTCCTCCTGCAAGGATGCTGACCTTCGTGGTTTCTGGAAGGAGGGTTTCTGCATCCGGTGCACGGGCATCCCCCTCGCTCGGGACCCAGATGGTCCAAGCTCCAAGCCCCACCGGCCGGGATCCAGGGTGGGGCTCCTGTCCTGCCCCTGCCATGGAGGCCTGCCTGGGTTTCCTCATCTGTGAGAATGACTGGAGAGTTCCCTTCTGGATAGAACTTTCCGGAAGGGGCTCTGATGCCACCCTGTCTGTCTGCATGCCACCTCCGTGTCTGCTGGGAAGAGCAACATGGGAGGGGCCAGTGCAGCCGTGACCATCAGAGTCCCACGCCAGCTCCAACACCTCCCCCCTTGCGTCTCGGTCTCCTCATTGGAGACACAGGGTCACCCGGCACCTGCCTTCCAGGGCTGCGGTGGGGACGAAACGGTCGAACGGGTCGAATGATGTTCCTGTGGCTGCTGTAACTGACAGTGAAAAACTGAGTGCTTAAAACAGCACAGGTATTAGTATCTTACAGCCCTGGAGGTCAGAAGTCCCAAGTCTGTCTGGCTGGACTGAAGTCGAGGTGGGCAGGGCTGGCTCCTGAGGCTCTGGCGAGAATCTGCTTCTGGGCGTTCCCCAGTGCCGGAGGCGCCCACGTTGCTTGGCTCGCGGCCCCTCCCTCCAGTCCAAGGGCAGCAGGGTCTTCTCTCCTCCAACCTCTGCTTCCGTCCTCACGTCTTCTCTCTGACTCTGAGCCTTCTGCTCCTTTTCATAAGGAGCCTTGTGATGACATGGGCCCTGCATCATCCAGGATCCTCTCCTGCCTCAGGATCCTTGACTCGATCACGTCTGACACTCCCTTTGCCGTGTAAGGTGGCATGCTCACAGGTTCTGGGGATAAGGACGTGGACGTCTTTGGGGCCGTTACGCAGCCCGCGCTGGGTAAAGCACGTGAGCAGGGCCTGGTCTGGGGCTGTGTCCTCAGAATGGTGCTCACCTCGGGCCCCTCCCTCCACCTAGCCCAACGACCCTGTCACCAACATCTGCCAGGCAGCGGACAAGCAGCTCTTCACCCTGGTGGAGTGGGCCAAGCGGATCCCGCACTTCTCCGAGCTGCCCCTGGACGACCAGGTCATCCTGCTGCGGGCAGGTGAGCGGTGGGCATGGCGGGCCTGGGGGAGGCGCCAAGGAGACGGGGCGACAGGTGAAGGGCTGTCTGGGGGCCCTCTGGAGAGGGAAGGCTGACCGTGTCCAGCGGGGGCCGCCCTTGAGGGTCTGTGTTCTGTGGCCTCCCCCCCTCACCGAGGCCTCAGCCCGGTCCTGGCAGGGCCTGCAGTGCACGTGGCAGGTGCACAGAACGTGCCTGCTCGAGCTCACGCCCTGTGACCCGGTGGGGCATGCTGGAGGCAGCCGGAATGGTGGCCCAGAGCGTCGGCTTTGGGGTTTGGGGTCAGTCCCGAGTCCTGGTGTGGCTGGCCGCCCCTGAGCCGTTTCCTCATCTGGAAAGTGGGTGTGACGGACACACCGAGGGGAAGCCGGTTTCTGCTGTGAGACTGCGGTCCTTGGAGCAAGTTCCTACAGGAGAGACAGTAGGGACTGGGGAGCTGAGCTGGGCTGGGCCTTCAGAAGGTGCTGGCAGGGAGCACCCCCACCCCGCCGGCCCATCCATTCGTGCGTCCTGGGCCCTGTCCTGTGCGGCGGCCGAGCCCGCATCTCTGCTCAGCAGCCGCCTCCCGACACCAGCCATGTGCCAGGCCTGTGCTGCATGCCACAGCAGTGTCAGATGCCGGCCCAGCCCCATGCCTCCCGGGGCCCTGGGAGAGGTGGCAGCTGGGTCAGAGGCAGGAGGAGGCTGGTGGGCCTCGGGGACGGGAGGTAGAGACAGTGGTTCCAGAGTGGCAGGGACAGGTCCAGGCAGGGAGGGTAGGCACGCTTGGGGCTGGCTCTGCCCTTGAGCTCTGTCCTCAGCCTCCTGGGCCCCGGTGTTTGGCGGCAGGATGTCCTTCCATGCTGGCCTGGTGGGGAGGGGAGGATAGCCCGTCCCTTCCCGGAAGAGCTTTCACTCTAATCAGGGTATTAGACCTGACACCAGAGCCACCAGGAGAGAGGACCTGCCATGTGGGAAGGGACCGGGCCTGGCTTCTCGTCCTGACTCACTGTCCGCCCCTTCCCTTCCCCAGGCCTCTGTTTCCCACTCTGTAAAATGGGACTACTACTTGCTTTGTAGGAGTGTAGTCAAGATTTAGTGGGATAATCCGTGTGATGCTCTCCTCCTCGGAGCCTGGGACCTTCCAAGCACTCGGGAACGGTGGCTGTGAGCCTTGCTGTCATTGTTCTTATTGGAGGCGGCTACACGTTGTCCGATCTACAGGGTCATCAAAACGTTTGAGCACGGAAATTGTTTCATTTCAAGCTCTTCTTCTATACCTTTTCTTAACCCTTTGATGCTCTCTCTGGTTTGTCTGGGCTGGGACCTCATAGAAAGAGAGCGTTGAGTTAGCCTGTGGCTCTAACACGCCTGTCTCAATTCAATAATGTGCTACTTCGTGGCGTTCCATGTGGCACACGTTGATCTCTGAGTTTGCTATTGGGAGCAGACTGGCAGCAGCTGTTCCTGGCCACCCCAGAGGGACTCCTGGGAGCTCTCCCACATGCTCCGTGGCACGAGCTGCTCTGTGTCCACCCCAGAGGGAATCCTGGGAGCTCTCCCACGTGCTCCGTGGCACGAGCTGCTCTGTGTTCATCCCAGAGGGAATCCTGGGAGCTCTCCCACGTGCTCCGTGGCATGAGCTGCTCTGCGTTCATCCCAGAGGAACTCCTGGGAGCTCTCCCGTGTGCTCTGTGGCATGAGCTGCTCTGTGTACACCCCAGAGGGACTCCTGGGAGCTCTCCCACGTGCTCTGTGGCACAAGCATCCTGCAATTGCAGAAAGAGACTTCCTTGTGCACCTGAGTTTGGGACACCTGGGTTAAACAGAGCCAAAGGAGATGCTTTGTGCAGGACTTCTCAGGGCCTTTACTGTGCTAGTGTGCTCTGTAGAAGAAAGAGGCATTTCCTAAACATAGGTGCCTGGGAACCTCTTTTCTGTGGAACACTCATGGGGTTAGGGTTCCATAGAGCACACTTTGGGAACCCTGGCCTGGTTCTCAGAGGGATGGGTCCGTGACAGCGATGCTGCCTTTGGAGGGCCTGATGGGGGTTGGGGAGAGGGCCGGCAGTGAGGCCTGGAGATGGCGGAGTGACCATGTGCCCTCCCCGCAGGCTGGAACGAGCTGCTCATCGCCTCCTTCTCCCACCGGTCCATAGCTGTGAAGGACGGGATCCTGCTCGCCACCGGGCTGCACGTGCACCGGAACAGCGCCCACAGCGCGGGGGTGGGCGCCATCTTCGACAGGTGGGGCCCAGCCCACGGGCACGTCCTGCTTGTCTGCTCTGTTTGTGAAGGTTATAAATGTGGGAAGTAGGGACAAGTGCGAGGAGGAGAGTGACGTCCCCAAGTCCACATCTGGGGTGCTCGACGGCCAGTGACCGCTTGGTTAGCGTCCTTCCGGTGCTTTGTAAATCCTGTGCCTGGGAAGGGAAGCGGCCTTTTCTCAAGAAGCAGAGTGGATTCCACGGTAGACGGCGTCTCATAGCGTCATCAGGTCCGACTCGAGCTGTGCTGTGACACGTCGCAGCCCATGTGCGCCCTGTGCACTGACCTGTGCCTGCTCACTCGGCTGTGTCTGCTCCCCCTCCATGGAGCGCAGATGCACACTCCCTGCACCTCTGTGGGGCAGCACGGTGGTGGGTAGGCCCACGCCGGGGCCCCGAGGCCTGTCTGTCTCCATTGACACTGCTCTCCAGAAACAGGCCCATTTGCGCTTCCCCAGGCGAGGTGGGCAGGAGCTGCCCATCCCAGTCCCTGGAGGCCTGGTCTCCGTGCTCAGAGGGCCCACGCCAGGTGTGGGCGTCAGCTTCAGCCAGCTGGAGTGGGAGGGGCTGGGAGGGACGTCACAGGGCCCCTCGGGTAGGGGTCCGCACACAGGAGCCGTGGGTGGGGAGGAGTAGCTCAAGGGGAGGAGGCAGTGGGAGGGGCCCAAGGCGAGCCCCCAAATATGGGCCCGGAAGTTGGAGGTGAGCAGAAGCCCCCAGTGGTGACCCCCGGGGGGAGTAAATGCAGGAACCGTGCTGCCCTGTGGGTGGTCCTGATGGAACGGAGCAGTGGCCTTTGGGCTCCCTGGAATGTGCCAGGTGCAAAAGGAGGTGTGACCACATCCTGTGGGCGAATGCTGGTTTAAATAGTTATGGATGTGTCTTTGCTGCAGGACTTCTCAGAGCCTTTACCAAGCTAATGTATGGGGTCGCCACCAAAGGGGCTGAGGGTGCAGTGTGTTTGCCCACAGAAGCCTCCTTGAGGGAACACACCCCTCTGGGACCTGCTTGGGTGTAGAGTTGCAGCCCCAGCCACACACCCAGCTGACGGTCTGTGGTCCCAGCTGCTAGGGGTGACGGTGATGGAGGCATCAGGTGACAATCTCTGGGCTCCCAGAGCAGCGTCGGAGCGGCCCGGCTTTTCCTTGCCCTTCCCGTGAACGGAGTGGGAGGCTCCATGCCCACCTCTCTGCAGCTCTGCCCTGCCTGTGGGCCAACTCTGGGCCCTGCGGCCGCAGACGTCCGGGCGCCTCCTCTCTCCCACCCCGTCTTCCACACTCCCTTGGGTGTTTTCTTGGGCTGCAAGCACATCCCTCCCCAGCCTGCAGACCTCAGGGGCTCCCCTGGCCCACAGGGAGAAGCCTGGGCTCTTCAGGGTGACTGTCCAGGCCTGCCTGGGCCACCTGCCTTTGCTCCCCTGCAGCCCGCCCTCACCACCACCTGCCACTTCCTGGACATGACTGTCAAGTTTTGGGGGACGGCAGATGGCTGATGAGCTTGGGGAGCTCAGGCTGTGTGGGGCTGTAGATAGGCCAGGGGTCCAGGATGCTGCTATGGCTGGGGCAGCTGAGGGTGGACTGGGGAGGGCACCCCGCTATCTGACGAGGCTGCGAAGGTTGCTGTCCTGGGTGGAAATCAGTAGTTGGTGCTAAAAAGTGGAACGCAGCCCCTATGTGGCAGCTGTGCAGGACTTAGGAGGGCCGCATCCTGGGGACATGGCTTTGCCGAGGACTGAAGGCTGCGGTCATGAATGCAGGGCCCCAGGCTTTGCCACAGACTGCGATGCCCCGTCTGCAGCTGAACAGGACGGGACATGTGGCTGTGGACTCTGCCCCCGAGATCCGGGCCCCTGGCTCACCCTGACTCAGCTATCATCGGGTTCCTCCTTAGTCTCCAGGTTCCCAGAATAAAATCCCACAGGCAGACCCTCTCGAGGGAGAGCAGAGGGGAGGAGCCCATCCAGGGCGGGACCAGGCAGGCTGGCGTGGAGCCTTCAGGCCCTGCCTGCGCAGCGCCCTGGTTTGGCCTTGTCCTTCTCAGCTGCCTCCAGGGCCACACTGGGCTCCCTGTGTCCTTTGGGTATTTCTGGGGAGCCCTGGCGAGGGGCACGGTCTGACTGGGACGCTGGTGTCTGCCTGCCTCCTCCGCAGGGTGCTGACGGAGCTTGTGTCCAAGATGCGCGACATGCAGATGGACAAGACGGAGCTGGGCTGCCTGCGTGCCATCGTCCTCTTCAACCCGGGTACGGCCTGCCTGCCGCGCCGTGTCTAGACTGGGCGTCAGCCCTCCCGTGCGGACAAAGGCCCCGGGTTCTCCTCCCAGCCCCACCGCTCACTGCCTCCCTCCTCCGGCCCTGGTGTCTCCTCTTTACAAGGGCAGGGTAGCCACGCGGCCTTTTCCTCGTGGCCCCTGGGAGGGCACACGAGGCGGCCTCTGGATGCAGTGGGGCTCAGTGAGCTGCGCTCGCCCTCAGTGGTTTGTTGAGGCCTCTGGCGTAGCTTCTGGGTCTACTGTCTGAGGTGTGGCACCGCTTTGCACCCAAATCCTGGGCTCCAGAAGGGAGACACCCTTCTCAAGTTTCCAGTGACAAAGTTCTGGAGGCCGGACAGTCCAGGCCAGTGTGAGCAATGGGTCGGACCTGCCCTGGACCCGCATGTGTGCAGCCGACCTCCACCTCAGTTGCTGTGTGGGAAGGGACCTTCTCGGAGCTCCACGCTGGATGGGCTGAGGCCGGGGTGCAGGCAGGCCCCCACCACAGCCCCACATGTCTCGGGGCTCTGCTTTCCCTTCTCTCAGAGCCTCTGAGGTGACAAATGCTAACGCAGTGCTGTGTGCTGGGCCCTGCGCCCAGCAGGGGGGCCCCCGGGCACAGCTGGCCAGGTCTGCCCTCTGGAGCTTAGCAGGCGCTGCCACGTGAAGGGGGAACATGGTGTAGACTGGACGTGCAGGATGTGTCCCGGAGGAGGTGCATTGAGAAGACCACCAGTGAAGTGGGAGGGTTGAGGGCTGGGCCTGACCCTGGGGCGCGGGCAGCCCTGAGAGTTCTAGTGGGCAGGGAGCGGGGCGGAGGGGGGGTGGTTTCTGTGTTTGAAAACTCACCTTGCTGTCTGTGGGGGTGATGGGGGCGTGGAGGGGCAGGTTCAGGGCTGCTGGGGGCTGCTAGGGAGGGGTGGGGATGGCAGCCGGCCCCGACCACCTTGCCTTGTGGAAGCTCTAGCTCTGAGGAGCGGGCTGGGGTGGGGATGGGCGTCCTCTCGTGGGGAGAGCCCGGGATCCCGCCAGCACCGGAGGCTGAGCCTGGTGGAATCCCCGTTCAGGTCGTGCATGGCTTGGCTGCCGGTCCTGGCTGCGGAGCCGAGGCCTGGGCGTGGGGCCACGGGGACAGAGGGGAGAGCCGGAGCCAGGCAGCCCCAGGGCTGGGGAGCCGAGCTACAGAGGAGCCGAGCTGTTCCCAAAGCATGGGGCCATGATGCCGTTGTGGGATGTGGGACTGCCAGGGCGGGGACCCCTGGACCCCTGGTCTAGGGCTCACAGGTGACCTGACAGCAGGTCTGTCCTGCAGCTGAGCCGCTGTGGCCTGCACTTGCTCTGGACCAGCCGCAAGGGGGCCAGCGTGGGCTCCAGCCTGTGTCTTCCGTGCCACTGAGGTGGGCCACACTTAGCTGGAGCCCGACCCAGGACTGTGAACCCAAAGTGGGACACCACGCAGTGGCTGCTGTGGGGAGAGAGGGAGAGACGGCTTCGTCCGATGCTGGCTCAGGGGGTCTTGGGAAATCCCGGGAGACCAGGAAGCAGAGGAGGCTTGGCAAAGCTGTGCCCAGCACGGTGGCCCCTGCTGGCCCAGAAAGCCCCGGGACGCTCACCAAGATGACCCCAAGAATGACCCTCCCTCCTTAGCCCCCACCCCTGGGCCCTGGAGGTTTGGCCACCCCGGTCCTAGGCTTCTCTGTCCACAGGCAGAGCTCCCCCCAGACTGGGCTCCTGCCCCAGGCTCCCCAGACTCAGGATGGCCTTTGGGCCACCCCCTCGGTGTGGGCCTGGCTGTTTCTGGGGAGAGGGTCCAGAGTGTCGTCTTCTCAAAGGGGCTCAGACTCCCGTGCAGCAAAGGCTGCAGGCGTCAGCCAGCCCTCTGGGGGCCGTGGTGATCAGGACAGGGCGAGGGCAGGCCTGCCGCACTTTATAGCTGGGGAGCATGGGTGTCAGCAGGTCCGGGACTACCCGAGATCCTGTGGCCAGTGAGTGGCCGAGCTGGGACTCGAGTCATGGTGGCCTCAAGGGGACAGAGCCCACTGCCCAGCAGCACACTGCGGCCTCATCCAGGCGGGGCTGCAGGGAGCCAGCCTAAGGCCCACGTCCGGGCCAGCTTCCCAGGCGAGGGTTCTGACTGCGGCCCCTCCCCTTCGCAGACTCCAAGGGGCTCTCGAACCCGGCCGAGGTGGAGGCCCTGCGGGAGAAGGTCTACGCGTCCCTGGAGGCCTACTGCAAACACAAGTACCCCGAGCAGCCGGGAAGGTGAGTCCGCTGCGGCCACCGCCCTCAAGGGGCTGGATCCTGACCTCCTGCCCCGGGAGACGGGCACTGGCCCCTCCGGCGCTCCAGTGTGAATTAGAAGGCGACGCCCTCCTCTGCGGAGGGCTCGTCCTGAGCAGGGACGGGATGCCCTCCAGGCCCTGGCGCGCACACACTCGGACACTCTCTTTAGCCCCACCCAAGAGACGGGCCGGTGCTGGCGCCCAGTAGGTGCTTGTCTTTGTGGAGGACGTGCATGACGGCAGTGCCTTCCTGCCCACTAAAGGGAACCGCTGGGGGCAGGGTTGGCGTGCTCACCTCAGGAGGGACTGATGCCAGCACATAGTAGGTGCTTTATAAATGTGTTCAGAGTAGATGGCCGTGGTTGGGCTCAGAGCTTGCCTCTCTTGCCCGCCTGACTGTGGGCCCTCGAAGGGCTGGGGCCGGCTCATCTCCAGGTCCACAGTACTGGGCGCACGGTAGGTGTACAGAAGGGGCTAACGGCCTCACGATGTTCCAAGTCTGTTGTTCTGATTCTGCCTGTCCTTCAAAAGGGCATCTCTGGGTTTCGGGGTGTAGGGGCCCCCGACGCCAGCAGGCCTCCCTCTCCCCTGCCCACCCCTGGCACACACAGGGTTAACCGTCCGCTCCTGCTCAGCCCTCATCTGGTTTGGTTTAAAGTGAAACATCCCGGAGGACGGGGAGGAGGACGGAGGGGAGGACGGAGGGGGCGGGAGGCCGCGTGTTTTTCCTGGCTCCACGCCGCAGCCCATCTCCGCCAGCTCAGCAGAAAACAGCTCGTTCTCTGGCGGCGCTCCAGCCCGCAGGCTGCGCTGCTGCCCTGGGAACGGGTGTGCAGCGGCCGACCACGGGGCGCTCCCCCTGCGGTGCAGACGGTGCTAATAACTCGCGAGGCCCCACAGCCCTCTGAGGGTTGGTGTGGAGACACCCGGGCAGCCGCAGGGGCAGGGGCAGAGGTGGACGCCCCTGGGGGAACATTTGGCCCAGTCCCCACGTGGCACAGTCCTTGGCGGCAGAGTGGCTGAGCCTGACATTCCTCCTCCAAGAGCCCCCCACCTGCCCCCCAGGTTCTTCCTGGGAAATCCCTGGGGGTGGGCAGGGCCTGAGTGATGCCCCCTCCCATCCGCCCTCTCTGGGCGTCCCGTGCCCGCAGGCCAGCTCCAACAACGCTGGTCCTGGGGAAGGGGGGTGCCGGTGGGGTGCGGATGTGGATGCTTTCTGCGAAGGGCTTGCTGAGCACAGACCTGCCCCCCAGCTCAGGAGCAGCCCCACCTCTGGTCTCCCCACTGCAGCCAGAGGCATTGCTGATGCTCAGATCCATTCTCACAGCTTAGAATCTATTCTGTCATGCTTAGAATCCTGCTATAGCTCCCTCTTGCCCTTAGAGAAAGCCCACGTATTTTAATTTCCCCACCAAGCCCTGTTCAGCCTGCCCCAGCCTGGCGGCTGTCTCGCCACTGGCCCTTCATCCCAGATCTCCACTCCATGGGTCTTCTTTCGGGGTTGTCCTGCCCGCCCTGCACTCTCCTGCCTCCTGGCTGGGGCGTGCTCTATTTCCACTGCCCGAGAGGCCCCTGCTTCCTGCTCTGAGGCTCGGCTCCGGCAGATCTCGTGCTGCTGCAGCTGCAGGGGAATCAGACTGGGAGACTCGTCCGGTCCCCGGGAGGCAGCCAGGCGCCAGGGCGGGCGGTGGGGGGGGGGGTCTGCCCCGCCCTCACGCCTGGCGCTCCTGCAGGTTCGCCAAGCTGCTGCTGCGCCTGCCTGCCCTGCGCTCCATCGGCCTCAAGTGCCTGGAACATCTCTTCTTCTTCAAGCTCATTGGGGACACGCCCATCGACACCTTCCTCATGGAGATGCTGGAAGCCCCGCACCAAATGACTTAGGCCTGCTCGCCCGTCCTTCGTGCCCACCAGTCCGGCCACCCTGCCTGGCCGCCAGCTGCTCTTCTCAGCCGAGCCCCGTCCCCGCCCCTTCTCTGCCTGTTTGGATTTTGGGGCGCAGCCTGTCACTGCTAAGCCTAAGAGATATGTTGCCACCTGCGTTATTTTTAATACTGCTCACATTTGGACCTGGGCAGTGGCTTCCCGGGCGGTGGCCAGAGTGGCCGGAACTGGTGTGAGCCCAAGCTGGCCCATCAGGCTTTCCCCAGGGGAGCTGGGGCGGCTCCCGGAGACCCCCACACCTGGAGCCGCTGCTGGGGAGGGCGGCGTTGTTTTGGTCATGTGTCGCTGGCTTTTGGAATCTCCTGGGTGGTCCTCCTCGGTTTGGAGTGCCCCCTCTTGGCTCCTGTCAGTGCTGGTGCCCGGCCAGCTTGGCCCCACCCAGGATCAGGAGGAGGGGACAGACTCGGGGGGGCACTGATGTTTCATTGCCGAAGACCCCATGTGCCCTCCGGGAAGACAAGACGGCCTCTGGGGCAAGCAGGCTTCCCTGCCTTCAGAGTGGAGGGTGAGCACCTTTTTCCAAAGATGACTTGTGATTTCGTCCCCAAGCCAATCAGAATGGGAGCCGACTTCTGTGCAGGGTTTGGGGTCACCCATCCACCCCTCCCGCCTTGGTTTTCTCTGTGCATCTTCCTGGTTTCAGCTTCTTCCCCTGTGCAGTCCTGTCCAACCCAGGGCAACCACACAGCAGTGCCACCCTCTCCTCAAACCCACATTTTCTCTTAGTCTATAAGGAGGGCCAAGGCTAGCCCCTGGTTCCTAGAGGGCTAGCCCAGACACGGGCCCTGCTGAGCTCTCATGGGCAGAGGTCGCCACCCGGGAGGTCCCAGGGATGACAGGGGAGGAGGACGGCTCCCTAGAGGGTCTTCGAGCAGCTGTGCATTTTCGGGGGGAGGCAGGAGGCCCACGGGAGGCATTGAAACCAGAGGGCCTTGCGGGCCGTCAGCCAGGCAGGGAGGGGCGGCGGGGGCCTGCGTCCTGCAGTCTGCTGGTAGAGGGGCCTCTTCTCTGGCTGTGTTCTGTCTAGAAGGCGTGGAATTGGGGAACTTCGAGTGCCGGCGTCCTCAGGCTGGCGCTAGATGCCCCTTGGGAACAGCCAGCCCGCTGTCTTGCACGCAGCCTTACGTGGGGGCTCCATCTGACATCTGCCCTGGTGCGAGGCTCCCCGTGCAGCCCAGCCCCCGCCTGTGCTGCGTTGCCACCAACCTGGGTGCGCACTCACGCGCTGGGCTGGGGTCCCTCAGGTGGAGCCGGCCCCTCTCACACTGCAGCGCCCTCCTTCTGGTCTGAGTCCTTTCCCTGTTCCTGCCTCGCACCCCACGAACCCCGTGTTTGTCAGTAGTAGGGCCTGGACGGGGACGGTAGGAGTGGGCTGTGCGGGAGGGGTCCTGTCTCGTCAGCCCCTGAGGGATGCTCGGGAATGCCGTCTCCCTCCTGCTGTCCCCCTGCAGCTCAGGAGCTGCCTTCCCCAAAGTTGGCTTCCCTAGATGGCACAGGGTCGCCTGGGCTGGGCCTGGAGAGCCGCCTCCAGGCCTCCGTGGGGAAGAAAGTGGCCATTCTTCTCCCAGAGTCCCTGGCCTGAGTGAGCACGGATACCTGGGCAGAGGCTGTGGACCACTCCACCGATGCCTCCTTCCACCCCGCCCCAACGCGGCAGCCGTGGAGGGCATCCCTGCCATGTGGGCACTCCCCCGACCCCCTTCAGGGCCTGCCCAGCTCCCCCTGCTCCCAGACTCTACCTGGAAGCCGTGGTGGCCTGTGGGGCGTGGTCGTCACAGGCAGAGTGACGCTGGCACCCGGGGTCTTCTTCTTGGGGTCCCCCGATTTGTGGGAACCTTAGACTGCCCCCACGCAACACCCCTGGTGCCTTTTGCAGCCTGGCGCGCCCCATCGTCCACGCCCAGTCCCTTCCGCTGCCCCAGCCCTTGGGAACATGGGGGCCCTCTCCTGGGGTCAGCTGCTTCTTGGGAACTTGGCTGTCACCGGCCCTGGCTGGCTGTCCAGAAAGCACTGAGGCCCCAGGCCACAGCCTCCCGAAGCCAGACCCCCTCCCCACGCCCCCCTCCCCACCGCCCACAGGCCCACGCAGCCTCCCGCAGCTGCCTGCCCCCGGCCTCTTGGGCCTTCGGGGCTGTCCTCTCTCCTTGTCAGTCCGCTGTCATCATTGTCGTGTGTCCAGTGCTGTTTGTTTGAGGGGGTTACACGTTGGGGAGGGCCCCTTGCTCAGTGGAGAGGGTGAGTAACCAGGCCTTCAGTAGTAGTTCCAATCTGGTTCGATTAAGGTGATTTTTTGTAATTATTATTATTATTATCATTATTTTGGTGGGACAATCTTTAATTTTCTAAAGATAGCACTAACATCAGCTCGTTAGCCACCCTTCCCTGCCTTGGCCTGGCTGGACGCTTCCTGGGCCCTGGGCTGCCAGTGCGTCTGACATGTTCCTCGGCGTCACCTCCTGCTTTGACATCCAGACGGGGCTTCCAGGCCCAGGAGTGAAGATGACCACACCCCCTGCAGAAGGGGTCGGCAAAGCCATGCTCTGGCTTGCCCCCTGACAGGTATCTCCTTGGAAGCTGGCCTGCCCAGGATGTTCAGCCAGCTGGCCTCGTCACCTAGAAGCATGCGGTCTCTGGGGGAAGACGGCCCCACACCCTCGGTTTTCCAAGTCCCGACGTTCCCAAAGGATTTAGGCTGGCAGGCAGGCGGCAGGTGCTGGAGACCACGCCGGAGCCCCTCCTCCGTGGGGGCCCAGGAGGGCCAGCCAGCCGTGCAGCCGGTGGGTAACCCGCTGATGTTGTCCCCATCATGGAATTAGGCGCGTGGCCTGGTCCCTGCCCACGCAGGTGTGGTGTAACACGTCTGTGCTGCACAGAGAGGAGCTGCGTGGAGCCGCACGCCGTCGGCAGCACTCGCGTAGCAGTTACCAACGTTCTGTGTTTGTTTTTAACCAAGACTTTTCCCCCCATTTTCCTGTAAATTTGCTTCATGTAAGCAAGTATATAAGGACCCCACCTTTGGTGAAATCCGGGTTCGAATGAATATCTCCAGGCCAGGGGATGCATCTATTTTAAGATGCTTTGGAGCAGACAGCTTTTGCAGTTCCTAGTCCTTAGCAATGCCTTAGCTGGCCGCGTAGCTCACATTAGAGAGGATGACAAAGACATACAGAGAGTAAAGATAAGAAAATGTCTAAAGCATCGGGAAAGGTAAAAAAAAAATCTATTTTTGTACAGACGTAATTTTATCCCTCGTGTATACTTGGGTGATACGGCGGGGGGGCTTGTTTTGTTTCTGCTTCCAGAGTCCGGGTGAAAGCTCGAAGTGACGGGCGGGCGGAGGCGGCCAGGGGAGGGAGGGCCGGGCGCGGGCTGGGCGGCCGCTGCCGGGAGACCCTTCCCTGTGGGCCGGGTGGGCCTGAGCCTCCTAGGGTCTTCTTCCCCTGTCGGGTCCTCGTTACAGCCTCGCTCTGCTTTGCCCCCGGCGTCAGCCGGCCTTCCCGCGTCCCGTCTGACTGTGAAACGCCTTCCGCACGTGGCGGTTCTCTGAGACAGCGCGGCCCGGGCCGGCATGGACGGACAGTGGGCTGAGGAGTGTGGGGAGGAGAAAGCCGTGAGAGGAGAAACAAGCAAAACATGAGCGTTTAAAAATACATCACCCTTCAGTTCTCGTTTGTTCCGGGGGCTTCCTGTTCGGGTGTGGGGGGCGGCCACGCAAGGGGGCCTTCAGCCACCCCATAGTGGGATGGCCTGCTGGCCTGGCCTGACCTGGGCTGCGTCCTGATGGTGCCTCAGCTGTCACCCGACCTGCAGTGGTGGCCGGTCCATGGCAGCGAGACCCCAGCTTGGGCTCCTGGGCTCCCCTCGGCTGTTTGACTTTCTCGGTCTGCTCGTTCCACGGCTCTCCTGGGAGCCCCCTCGGGCCTGGGCTGGTCCAGGGGCTGCCCTCAGCATCCACGGGCACTGGGCGTGCGGGCACTTGCAGAACCCGCCTGTGGCCACCTGCCCTGCCCCGGGCTGTCTGACCCGCGTCCACACTGGCCCGAATGGGCAGGAGGTTCCCACACAGGGCCACATAACAAGTGATGTCATCTAACTGCCCCATTAACAACCAGGTAATGACGCCCATCTGCTCCAGCCCGTCTGGGGCAGGGCCTGGGTGCAGCTTGGCGATGGTGCCTGAGCCCTCGTGCACCTCTGTCTAGCGGGTGCCCTCCTGGAGAGCCCCAGACCCTCGACCTGGGAGGGGGGCCTTGAGGGCTGGGGCTGCCCTGTGTCACCAGACAGTTGGTGCTGAGGGCGAAGGTCGCTCCCAGCTGGGAGGGGGTGAAACCTTACAACAGGGAAGTCGGTGACCGAAAGGTGGGGCTCCCCTGATGTCCCCCCCGGGTGTGCTCACACACACACACACGCATTTACACACACGGCCCATCTCACACAGCACACACACAATTCCACACGCTCTCACACTCAAATACACACGCACACACACCCTCATGCACACGCTCGTTGTCCTGGGTATGTCAGCCCCAGGGTGATGGGCCACTCAGGGAACAGTGGGGGCCCATGGGCCTCTGTTGGGGAAGCTGGAGGCTGCCTGCGGCCGTGTTGGGTCACCATGCCACACTCCCTTCCTGGGGGTGTGGAGGGGCGGCTGCCCCCGGAAGCTCTGGGCTGCTCCATGGGCCCCAAGCATGGCTGAGCGGCAGATGCCAGCGGGACTCGAAGCACAGGGACGACCGGAGCCCAGCCTACTGCAGGCTCTGAGGGCCCCGTCGGCCGCCTGCCCTCCCCAGGCCGGGGCATGACCTTGCCCACCAGTACTGCGCCCCCACTTCCTTGAAGGTGGGAGTGGGGGGCGCTGTCCGAGGCGCTCGCCAGCTCCACCTGCAGCGTAGCCTCCCCGTGGCCTCTGGGTCTTCCTGGGACTGGCACTCTGGTTTCCTGTCATCAGAGCTCTTGCATACCAGCCGCAGGCCCCTTCCTTGGTCTGGAGAAGGGGTCAGCCCTGGGGGGCCTGGAGAATTGGGAGGGTTGCCTGCCAAGGAGGGGCCTCATCCTACCTTCCACATTCCCAAGCCCACTGTGTGTGCCTGGCGTGGGGCCTCTGGCTCCCTGGCGCCCCCTCCCCGCGGGCCCAGCCCCAGCTCTGGGCAGGGCCTCTGAGGAGTGAATGAGGACCTTCAGGGAGGTCTCAGGCAGGCTGCAAGGGCTCGGAGGCGGGGCCTTCAGTGGGAACTCATGACCGTGCCCTGCGGAGAGCAGGCTCAGTAACTGCAGGGGGAGGAAGGGGCGCCGGGGTCTCTGGGGGACCTCGGAGAGGAAGATCCTGGGTTCCCAGGGAGCGGTGCTGCAAGGGCAGACCCACGTCTCCCCAAGGAGCCATGCGGAGGAGGCCCCGGGTGAGCACTGAGCTGCTAGGCCCCTTCTGTCTCTGACGGCTCGGGGTGGCCTGGCCTCCGCAGGGGCCACTCCTCCCCCAGCCAGGATCCTCCAGACGTTCTGCAGGACGCAGGCTCCGGGGAGCACAGCCGGAGGGGCGCACCTGGGGCAGCGCTGACCCTGGGGTTGGGGAGCAAAGGAGCCGGTGGGCGAGAGGGGGCCGAGGTGGGTGAGTCCAACAGCTGACTCCTAGGGTGAGCAGGACCTCTGGTGACCCCTCCCCCGGGACAGGAGCGCCCCCTAGTGCCTCCGAGCTTCCAGCAGTCAAGCGGAGACCCCAGGCTGCCCACGGGCATTGCATGGCGGCCTGGCCTCGGGCCTCTCTGCTGCCTCTGGTTGCCATGACAACATCTGCCCAGGGCAGTCCCCCTGGACCAGAGATACTGGGCTTGGTAAGCTTATCACCAGCGGGATCAGGTGGTGTCAGACCGAGCCAGTAGGCCTCAGGGTTTGTAACTGGAGAGGTGAGGGTGGGGGCCGCGGGCTTTTGGATGGGACAGTGCTGAGCACGCACCCTATACCAGGCCCTCTGCTGGGTGCTGGGGCCCAGCGACAGGAAAGGGCTGGCCCAAGCAGGCAATGTGATGGGAGAATGAACGTGCATGGGAAACGGGGGCATTCTGGAGGGGGCCCTGGCCCTGGCAGAGGACACGGGGGACGCGGGAGCCGGTGCCATCACTGGGCCCAAGGGCAGCAGTACCCGGAGTGACTGGAACCCAGTGGAGGTGGTCAGGGGGATCTTGGGGACCTCAGGCAGGAATGGGCCGGAGCAGGGAGGGCTCAGGGAAGAGGGGGCTTGTAAAGATTCAGTTCCTGCATCCCCAGGCCCCTAACGCCGAAACGGTTCCATCTGTCCCCAAACCCGGGACTCCCTGGTAGTGTGTGTGAGGACCGACCCTAACCAGGACACGGGAGAAGCCTCTGCCCTGCTGCCCTGCCATGGTGGCATGGGTCCTGGCCCACTCCTGCTGGGCAAGTGTGGACCTTGAGGGCGCAGCCAGCCTGTGGCCTGTGGACTTTCTCATCCCTCTGCTCCCGAGGGGCCGTCCCGGCCGGTGGTGACCTCGAGGACTCAGAGTGTCAGAGTGGGCTGGCCACTTTAGCATTTCCACCCCCCATCCAGCTGCAGGTCCCTTCTGCACAGATGCCTAGAGAGAACCCGGAGGAGGCGAGGGGGCTGCAGCCCCGGCATATGCAGACCCTCAGGAGGTGTCCAGAGGCAGGACCAGCCCAGCCCGCAGCCCCCTGGTGATGATGGACCCAGAAACCCCAGGCTGTCAAAGGTGCAGCCGGTCCTTCTGGACGGAAGGTCCAGCCCCGGGGCCTGAGTGTGAGGCGGCACTGCCCCCTGCTGGAGGCACCGGGGCAAAGCCCGGAGTCCCTTCCCGTCTGCAGGTGGTTCCTGCAGCCCCTTCCGCACTGGGTCCCGTCCCCTGCACGTACAGTCAGCAGGAGCTGCACGGAGCCTGCCCCCCGGGCAGCCCCCCATGCCGACTGAATCAGAAGATCTGGGGTGGAGCCCGCCCCTGCTTTGTAACGACAGCCGGGGGTGGGCTGTGCAGCCCTACTGTGTGCTCAGCCTGGCGTGGGAGGTGGAGCTGGGCCTCAGTTTCCCCACCTCCACAATGAGAACAGAAGTCCCCACGTCCCAGGGCCGTTGTGATGAAAGTGTACAAGACCTTGTCATCCAGAAAAAGCTCTGAAGTTGCTGCTTCCTGTTTTATCCTGGCATGAAGAGGCTCCAGCGCACTCAGGGGCACGGAGCTGGGCGAGGAGGGGCTGGAGCCCTTGGGGATGCGGCCGGGGGTCCATCTCCGGAGAAGGCCAGGGCCTGGGGCCCAGGAGGGGGCGCTGGGGAGGGGGACCCAGGTTGGGCACCATCGTGCCCTTGAAGGTGATAATCCAAGGTTGGGTCAGAGCCACGCGTGAGGGCCAAGCTGGGGGCGTTGGGCAATCCTGGAGAGGGGACTTAGTTCATTCATTCGCCCATTCATTCATTCACTGGACAACACTTGTCAGGCCCAGGCCCCAGCCTGAGGGGCTCTCCACCTGACTAGGCAGGGAGGCCGGGGAGGAGGGCTCCTGGATCTGAATCCGGAGCACCTGAACCCCCTCCCCTGCCATCCGCAGCATGGCCTTGGTGCAGCTGTCCCTGACCCTGAGCCTCAGGCCCCCTCTTGACCCCTGGTGGTCTGACCTAGCCTGGCAGGGCCGGCTGCGGTCTCTGACTCAAAGCCTGTGGGGCATTGTGCTCAGCACACGGTGCAGCCGAGAAAACCTGCTTCCGCCCCTGGGGCCCGTGTCGGTTCCCGTGTCGGTTCCCGTGTCGGTTCCGGTGTCAACAGGGCAGAGGTCAGCCCAGAGCTTCCAGGGGAGCCCAGGCCCACAGCCCAGAGAATGCGTGGCATGGGGCCGAACTCACGCGCTTCATGGCACCTACCCGGCCGCCCTGCCTCCCGGGGTGGTGCTGATGCGGCAACGCCCGGGCTGCAGTCCTGAGGAGCCTGCTCTGGCTGCAGAGCCGCAGGTCTCGGGGCAGCCACCCCGAGGTGGGCCTCCGTCCTCCCTTCATTCCTGCACCAGCAGCTGCCCGTGCCTGGCCCATCCAGGGAGGCATGAGGGTCGGGAAGCCCGGTCTGGGATCCAACCCCAGCTGGAGCCGGGTGGGCAGAACATTTACCTCCCTGGCCTCAGTTTCCCCTCTGTGGACGGGTGGGAATGGTACTGAGCTGATGCTGTGAAGCCTCGGAGTAGAGGGTAAAGGATCTCGCGAGACGAGCGGCCCCATCGCTCAGGTAAGAGACTGAGACCGGGAGAGGAGGAGATTGTGGGGGTCAGCCAGGGCAGTGGACCCAGGTCCTGGCTCCCAGGCCGTGCTCTGGGCGTGAGCGGCCCGGCCCCCGCCTCTGAGGAACTGCCAGCTGTCGGGACAGGGAGCCGGGCAGACCCACAGCAGCCTGAGGTCAGCATGGTGATGGCCTCGGGGGGCAGGTGTGAGCCCAGGGGCAGAAAGAGCCAAGCCTACCCCGGGGAATGGGACGGTCCCCAGGCTCAGGGTGCCAGGAGCCCCACAGAGACGCCTGTGGGCCTCACTTCCCATCTGCTGAGCCCTCGGGGCAATGGGGAAGGGCCTGGGTGGAGGGCCCAAACTCTGAGGCTCCCCCAGGCACGTCCGTCTCCGCTCGGTGAGGGCGGGGGCTGCGGCTGCTCTGG